TCAGCAATTCAAACCTGAGGATATTGTGATTGCATTGTTGGAACTTTTCAACTCCAAGCTTATCTATCACACCTACATTATTCCTAGTGATTAGCTGCAGTATCACTGTTAAGCTTGTAGGCAATTACCTCATTTAAAGGAGCATCCTTGTAGTGCCTCACTGAACATGCTGTTATCTGCATTTTCATACTGCTGGCTTTTTTTTCATTTCTCCCCATTCTGTACCAGAACAAATGAAGTCACTTGTTTCTGTTCCAACCCTCTTTCAGGCTGATTGTATTTAAAGATACTCCATCTTTTGATCTTAAACTTCATTCCAAAACTTTGTTAGTCCGTGATATCATTCAAAACTTTGAGGCACACTGTCATACTGCATCTTGGTGTTCCACAGTGCATTTTGAGCTTGTTCTTTGCACTAAACTTTCAGTGATGTTAACCAGAGTGTTGGAGATGCAGAACAACCACAGAACCGTGCAGAATGCAGGAGTTCTGCTGCAGCAGCCAGGGAAGTGATGAAATCCCACAGCAATAAACCCCTTAACCAGCCAACTGCAACCACCTCTGCTTTCAACACAGTGGCCAAGAAAGGTTCAGTGACCAGTCAGTCAGTGCCAAACACTCTTCCCACACACTCCTAAGGGTGAGGACTCCCTGACCTGCCCCCAGCCCCACCCTGCACCTCCAGAGCAGAGCTGAGCATCATCTGCCACCCTGGGCAGCTTCCAGAGCCACATCACATCCACAGGCAGGAGCTGCTTCCAGGAGCAGACAGACACACACTGCCCCTGATTGCTGATGGATGTTTGACAGGGAGAGGGGACCCTTTACAGATAAACACACATAAACTCGACTTGGTTGGATTTCAGACGAGTAAAACAAGACACAAAGTGAAATTTTGTTTAGGTGTTACCAAGTCTCCTCCCTTGGCCTGCCTTTCATTTTCAAATCTCTGGGCTCTAATAACTGGCTGACTTATTATCAAATTACAGCTGAAATTGTAGACTCATAATTAAACCAACACATAATACAACTCACATGCCACTGAGGGGGGACCCTTGATTTTTGCATTGAGCATGAGACTTAAAGCCAGAAACTCACAGTGCATCTCAGTTTGACTTCTGCTTTGTCTGTTATTATCTTTGTCTCATATTTCACAAGGCAATTGTAAGATTTACTCCACTAATGTCACTTATGTGCTCTGAAGACATAAAGTACTGAGTGCCAAGTATTATCACTTATTCAGTAATCTTGTTTCCTATGTTAGCTGCATTTGAGCAAAGCATGCCTTGCTTTTCACTCAATTTTGCCAGTTTGGTTTCCTTGGTCTCTCATTTTCCATAGAACAGTCACTTGGCAGAAGTTTTGGTTCATACACTCACACCACATAACCCTGCTCAGAACAAATCTGTGCCACAAAGTGCTCACAAAAACAACAGCTTACATTTTGTCTTCCCTAATATTAATCCCAGGATAAAAAATCTTATTTAGAGCTGAGGTAAAGGCTTTGTGTAGCCAGGAGTTATTCTGAGATGTTCCAAACCATCCCTGTCCCCTGTGAACTGCAACACAAAGCTTTTCCTCCCTGTTTGGCTATGTTATTTCTGTTCACTTTGGAATGAACAGCATCAAAGGATCTAAAACCATTCCTGCTCATAAATTCAATGTGTTTTAATTTTCCCCTTCTAGACATCAGAGACTTTATTGCTTCAGACACCTTCTGCTACTTCTTGGAGGATTTTTTATAAAGTGCTAGAGACTTTAGAAGTTGGTTTGTTTTAGCACTGACTCATTCCCTTCCTAAATTCAATGTTTACATTGTATCTCCACATACCATTTATTTGACTAATTGTTTAATGGCATGTGAAAAAATTGTTTAAAACCCATACATCAATAGATGTATGCAGAAGAACACACATCACTCTTCCTTGTTCTCAACACAGGTACTTGTTCATATATATATATATAAAGAAAATAAATATCTTTCACATCCCACTGCTGTGCTCCCTCAGCTGCACAAAGTGTGTAAAAGGAGTTCTCACAGTCAAAAATGACACAGAACAAGTTTTCACTTTCAAAGTACCTTTACTTAATCACTTCCTCCACCTCTTTCCCAGTCTGCATATCTTAAGGATTATGAATTGTTACACAGGACAATAGAGACTTAGGCAATATGGCTCTCCAGAATAAAAATCTCATATATGAGCAAAATATGCAATTAAGTCACCAACAGCTCTACTGAAGCATTCCTTTGCCTCTGCAAGCTCATCTTGTCTTTCCTTGGCTGTTTCTGATGTTTGTGTCAAGAAAAAAATGTTTTAAAATGACCCATCTCTCGTATTATGTACAAGAACTCTTTCTGGAGTGTTCTCAAGAAGAAATTTCTTCTTGAAAATTCTTAATGAAGAAATATATAATAGCTGCAACTAATATGGGGTAGTCAGGACTATTTATACCGAGGCAGAGACATGAGTGTCTCCTGTAGAAATGGACATGATTTACACGAGGATCCACCAGACTCTGAACATTACTAATTCCTTTCTGTCCCCAAAGCAGAGTCACAAATGCAATCAGTTTCCTTGAGAAGCTCATGCACTCAAATCACCACCAGCACTTGAGGAAGCACAAGAAATGGCAGTGGATGCTCCAAACCAATGACCCAAAATTCCCTGACTCAGTGCTAGGTATTGGTCTCAGGCAGCTTTCCAAAATCCACTGCTGCTGTGGCACTGGGACAGAGCCACTGCTCCAGAGCTCCCCCAGACATCACTCCTGCCAGGTGAGTCACTGTCCTCTCTGAAATGTCAGCCTCTCTCACTCAGAAATAGCTCCTTAAATATTCCAGAAGAATTTATGGAGTGCCAGTCAAGCTGGTAAAGGCATGGTTAAAAGAATTTCAGATACCTGTGTGCCTCCTCTCATTCTGATGTCTTTCTCCTTGTGGACTGTACTGGAGAAGGAAGAAAAAGTAGCCATGGAGAATTATTTCAGAGCCACCAGTTCACAGAGAGGAAAATGATATAGAATATACTAGTTTATATTTTATACAATTAAATAGATATATTATAGCAATTATATTAACATTATATATACACTATGTAGTTCAATTATATATATTATATCTCTGGTGGCTTTGTGCTTCAGGACAAAGTGTGTGCATGCTCAGCAAGGCAAACATCTGGAACCCCTGGATTTTGTGCTCCCCACACAACAGGCTGGCACCATGGACAGTGAGGTGAGAGTTTTAGGGACTGCACATCCTCAGTTACTCTGACACAACTGCATGCAAAGCAAGGCTGGGAACCAGATTATTGAGGCTGTGACCATTTAAAAAAAAAATAAATTAAAAAACCCCTAAAGCATTGCCAACCAATCAAAACCCCTACAGCAAAGGAGTTAACCCTTTCCTGGAATTATTTTCAACTGTAATTAAATAATGAGAAGCACTTCTATCAGCACAGCTGAAGCAACTGTATTTTGCTGTAAAGGACAGGAGGAACTGGTCAGAGGCAGCAAAAACTTCCAAAGCCAGTTTTTCAGTTGAATTCACTATACTGTGGATTCACTTTCTCCCCAAAATGATGCAAACATACAAACAAAACAAAGTTCTACTGGAATTTGAGGCTCTCAGTAGTTCTGACAAGTTGGACTCTGAAAGTCTGGCCCTCAATGGATGTACGTAGAACGCAAATAAATTCTTATTTTTATGCCTACCCACAAAAAAAAAAAAAAAAGCAAAAGACTGAAATAAGGAAATTACTGGATATATTCAGATGGATGAGTATCTTGTAAAGTGAATAACTAGGCAAGGAAAATCATTAACAATAGAGCCATCTGCTGTATTTCAAAAAAACTACAGCAGCAAAATTCTGAAAATGGTAAAATGCTTTACCAGCTGAATTTCTCACTACTCAGTGACACAAAAAGTGATGATAATGATTACTACATCAGTTTAAATAAGAGGAAATGTAGATTTCTTACACCTCTTCTAATTAAAAAGCAATATTTAGTGGCATAATACTGATCCTCTGTGTCTAATGATACTAATTGACATTGTAGCTGGGCTTGTTAGAAATGCTCTCCATTCCACTTGAATCAGAGAAACACAGAATTGTGTATGGTAACTGTGAGGTCAGCAGCGAGCTGAATATTTATTTAAATACTGACAAGACACTAGATGACGTTTTTCTTGCTTTAAAGTAAGAATTTCAAGTCAGAAGAAAAGAAAGGAAGAAAAAAAAAATCAATCAACACAACAAGTGAGGGGAAGTTTAGAAGACAGACTGACCCCAGAGGTTCTTTGTACATCTTTACACTTCTAGAAATAAACTTGAGGAGCCCTTCTTCAAGCACAGTGGGAAAAGCAAGTGCCTGGGAGCCAATTCCCAATTTTCATCTCAAACACAGAACTATAATCCTGTTTCAAAAAGGAAAAGTTGTACCCAAAGCTGCAGAGAGAATACACTGCTGAAAATCTTGGATCGAATGGGTGCTAAGCTATGCAAAAATAAAACACCCACAAAGCATCACAGCCCCTGGGAACTCCATCCTCAGCTTTCCTGAGCTGCCCTCTCAGAGGTGGCTGCAAGTGATCACAAACCAAAACTGAGAGCTTTGGGCACGAATCTTCACAGGGAAGCTCCCCTTGCATCTAAAACAAGGTTGTGAGGCATCCACCCACATCTCACCTGTAGGTCACCATCACTCCATCAGTGTGTCTGCCCCAAAAGCCTTCATTAAATATTCTGATCAGATGTTTGACAACGAATTTCATTTGTTCCTGCAACCCTTGCCATTCAGCAGTTTCTTATTCTACATTCTACAAATGTTTTTTGTAGTTTACACAGTGACACTTCATTACTCCACCTTCACCAATTGCTACACAAGTTTTTTTTCTTACACCCACAAAACCAAACTTCCACCACTAGGATTTTTTTTTTAAACCTCATAAATGATAGAGCAGAGACATGGTTAGGCTCAGAAGGAGAACCAGGTGTATTTACCTGCCATCATAGCTATCATGCTGGCCTTGTAGACATTGGCAAGGGAGCCCAGTTCACCTGTAGCCAGGATGGTTTTCATGTGAGCTTCTCCACAGGCTGCACGGCACAGACGGATCTCCTCGTACAGACCTGGGGGTACAAGGCAGGTGCAAATGATCCAAGATGCCTGACAGAGAGAGAGATTTTCAAGTATGGCCATGATTTCCACTTCTGGATTCATTTCCAATCTCGTAATTAGTCGTAGCACTCAGGAATTCGAGTTTTGTAAGTTCAATGAATTACATGACTGGAGGTAATTAGCGACGCCGTGCAATTTCAGACTTCACTTAATAGCTATTAATGGCTGTTCTCTCAAAACTACAAATGTATGAAATACCCCTGAAGACATTGGGAGTTAAAAATGCTGTGGTAGTAAAGATTGATCTTAAACCAGCTTTTCCAGCAAGAAATATGGTAGGACATTTTTGAATCAGTAATAGCTGTTCTCCTCTGCACCTGGCCAATGAAATCCTCCCACCCTTCCTGGTAAAACTCAGAGGTGCTCCCACAAAAGTTTACACACAGGGAGGCTAAAAAAGCTAGAAATTAATGGAACACTGCAGTCAGATGCTGGCCACTTGGGGATGTTTAAGATTGCTCCAGCGTGGGGAGAAAAGCAGCTCTTATAGTGCATGGTCACCATTTCTGGATCTTGAATTTAAAAAAAACCACTAAAATGCAAAATAAACAAACAGGATACTTTGCAAGAGGGTCCTTTTGACAAACTGCACTCAATCTTCAAACATCCAACCAAAAAGTTGTTTGACAGAAGGCTAAAATAGAGTTTTAAATAAACTTGCTAAAACAGTCCAGGCTACAATGACTCTTTTTTTCCAGCAATACTAGATTTCATTTCCCCTCATTTTAAGAGAGACCTGGAAGGCCAGGGCAGGGTTTGCCAGCCCTCATCTGAGCAATGCCATGGGCACACCAGGGTGTCCAGGGCTGGGATTGCTGGGCTGCCCTTCTGAGACTCGCTGCACACATTAGCAGACAACTGGCTGATGCACTTAGCAAGTCCCTTTATAGACACCAGGCTTCACCTTGTTTCTTACTGGGTACCAAAGGTGTGAATTAATCAGTGCTAGCATGCAGTCTAACATGTTTTATTGATCAATTGGTGATGCTCCAGAAACCTACATCAAATCGAGGCTCAAAAAGGAAACACAAAGGACCTGTGCTATTTTTTTTTTTTTTTTTTGGTGCATTTAATAACCCAGCTCATGTTAGATCCAAACGAAATCTCTTTTTGTGGAGTGACTCTTTCCTGAAGCTTTTGAAAACCCAGAGAAAGCAGCTTTCTTCTCCTCCTAGTTTGGGTAACAAGAGGAAAAAGTTTTCCCAACCTTTGAGGTACGCCACTGTGGACACACACATTTAGAGAGCTGGGGAATTCCAGCTTGGAAATTCTTTCCAGGCCTGGATTTCTCCTGACTCTCAGCTCCATTCCCAGGCTGACAAGCTGACTGCAGCTTCAGTTAGGGAGGAGTCTCCCAGGGTGACAACATGGTGACAAACAGAGTGGAATTCATCACCAACATTAACCCCTGGTGTCTTTCCCGTGGGACACATCCTGAGGTGCTGTCCCAAGGATGTTTTTCCCAATTGTCCCATGAGCTCCTGTCCTGTCCTGGCTGCACTGACACACTTTAAATCCGGGCTGTCTGTACAATAAATTGGCCTTTTTTCCCCTAAAGAAATCCGTGGGTGTTGCTGTCCTTTCTCTCTCTTTGCAGCGCAATGACCACACGCCACCAAAAACGTCAAAATAAAATCAACAAAATGTACATTTAGCTTGGACTCCACGCAAAAAAATTACATCCTCAGAGCTGTTTCTGCCTGGTACTGCAGTTCCAGCAGCCTCCCTTGCAGTTAGAAGATGATTTTACATACAATCAGCATCGAGCTGGTTGGAGCAGATCATCCCACGGGCAGCTCAGCATCCTCCACCAGCCCTGGAAAAGTGGGCACACCTCAGTGGGGCAGCTGTGTGGGTAAGAAAATGCTGTTCTTTAATTCAGAGATAGCTGACATTCACAGGGAATTGTCAAACCCCTGAGAGAAATGGAACTACGTTTGGGACAGAGCAATTTAACCCGAGCATCCCAGTGAAAGCTGGAACTGCTCTGATACAGAACGAGTGTAAGAGCTCCTACTCCTTTCAAAAATTAAAAGGAGAAGTTTCAGTACTCAGTCAGATTTAAATCAAGGCACAAACAACAAGATTATCCTGAAAATCTTGGGCCAATGTCTAAAGCATGGGCGCAGTTAGTCACACTGCAGAATGTGCTCAGTGTTTCAAGAAGTGCTGGGCTTCCTGTGGGACAGAACATGCTGCCAAAAAAACTCCAGCACTTAAGGACTCATTTCCATCAGAACAGCAGCAGGATCAAAGCTGGATACAAATATAGTGAATATCTGTGAATATCTGTATACAGGAATATCTGTGACCTGTACAGGACACAGCAGACACAGCATCTCTGCTAAGCACAAAGATTTTGGTCCCAAAACTCTATCCCAGGAAACTCTGCAGGTGTATTTTCAACTATGAGCCAAGAACACCATGAAGAGGTTGCAAGAGGATTCCTTTCTGACTCCTAAAAACAAAGAAAAAGCAAAAGCTCTCAAAGCAAATGGCCAGCATATTAAACAAAGCACCAATATCATGCATTCTAAAAACAGGCTAAATCTTAAACTAGGAAAAAAAAAAAAAAAAAAGCAAAAAAAACCCAAACCAATAAACCAAAAAAAAAAAACCCCAAAACAAGCCACCCTATCTGGAATACCTGGAGCCAGCTGCTCACTAACATAGTCAGCAACAGCTCTACTGATCCAGCTGTTAAAAAAGATGTGACATAAAAATTCTTCTGCTTTGCACCACTGGAGATACCTGACAGTTTCCATGAATTTTAGACCTCCTTTTACTAGATGTATTTGTAGAAGTCAGAAAAAATTCAAATTTTGTAGGGGGAAAAAAAATGCTTTCGTGGCTGTGGTTTTAATTCCATGTTATAAAACACAAGAGTTGTAAGCTTTCTTGTAATTTTCTTAACACTGTAAATATTTAGTACATTGTATTGAATTTTAGCAGCTATTAAACACAGCAAAGAAAATGTTCCTTCCCCTATATATTTCCCAAGCAAACATCCCTGATAATTTCTGCTGGCTGTAATCTGCACCAAATTGTCTAGATGGTCTGTTACTTTTACTTTTTTTACTTTTTAGTGTAATACATTAGTCCCAAAAATCACAAAATAAATGGGATAATCCAGTTCTCCTACAAAGGAAATGAAAATATTAAAGGAGGGGAAAAAACCACACTGCTTAATTTTTCATGGAATAGTGGAATATGGAAAAATGTGGTGATAAAAATCACTTTAAAAAAAAAAAATCAATTTATTTGGTGTTTTTATCCAGTCAGTCACAGTGACTGATGTTAAGGGTAGAAACTGAGATGAGAAGATGTTTTGATTTCTGTTAGAAAAAAGATCAAGGTGATTGTGATGAGCTGGAGCCCCTTCTGTCTGACATGTTAATTAATGGCAGGTTTGTTAACAAAATGCCAAGCACAAGGCTCTCAGCACAACACCACTCCCCCAGCCCTGCTGCAGCCACATCTGTGCAAGCCCAGCTCCAGGAGAAAAAAAAAAAAACAGAAAATCATGCAGCAAGGAAATGCTAAATCCAGCCACAGCTTCCTGAAAAATGTGGGGAGCAGGTGTCTGGAGCAGGGAGGGAGTTTTGTTTGCCCTTTTATGATGGAGCACAAAATTGGGTCCCAGCCCCTGTCCAAAACTTCCACACTCCCATCTGAACCATCAGCAGGAGTGAAAAGCACTTTTCAAAAGGAGGTTATGCCACGGATGCAGACGTGCTCAAGTTTCTCTGAATATAACTGGGGTTTTTTTTTTTCCCTTTTCTACAGGAAAACTCAACTTCCCCAGAGCAAATGATGGATTGATAATGGTCCTGACACTGACAGTGTAACATGTCCACTGTGGAATTAGCACTAACATTAATTGCTGCACCCCACACTACTTCAGCAGGTACAGGGGGGAAAAAGAATAATAAATAAATCCAGTCTATTTTCAACAACTTGTTTGCCAACTTGATCACTCCTTACATAAAGGCTCCACATTCTGTGGCTAAAGGAAGTATCCAAATTGATAATTTATGTTTAATCCATACTTTGTCAAGTGATACAAGACAATAGCTGAGTGAACTACTCTAAAGCAGTATTGCTTTAAAAAGAAAAAAAATAAAGCTAGGTAAGTTCATAAACTTGTATCTCATTTAATGTTATTTTCTGATGTAATTTGGCTGTCCAATAAAGCTGCTTTTGTATTCAGCCTTATTTAAAAGATCTTAACAATTACTTCACAAAGATCTGGAAAACACATTCTGAGTGTCATAAAGAGCTCCAGCAATATTCGAGAACTGCTTTAAAATAACCTGACATAATTGGACACACACTAAAATATTTAATAACCAAACAAGCCTTTGAAGCAAATCACAAAGCAACACTATTGTGTTGTGGTGACCCCAATTACTGCACAGCCTAGAAGAAAAGCTAAAAATGAACAGTGAGATAAAGCACTCAACCACACAGATTTATTCTTTTTTCAATAAGTTCTGAAGTTGTGAAGAGTATCAGCATAAGAAAATTCTCATGTAAGTTGTTTATTATTATTATTATTACTATTATTATTACTACTACTATTAGCATAAGCTATAATAGAAGTGCAAGGCAGCTTTAGTTGATGAAGAACCTTAAACACAAGCACAGGTCCTGCACTACTTAATTTTATGTAATGTAGGGATTTAGCCTAAAAATCCTTCTTCATCCCTTCTTCTAGGATCCTTAAAAGTATTTTATAGATGAATTAGTACTGATTAATTTTAGTATTACCCCTAATCACACAGGTAGCATACCTATTGAAAGCTAAACAGCAAGATAGAACACTAGATTTTCACCCAAATATCCAGATCACCTAATGAAACGTTTTTTGGGTTTTTTTTAATAGGAAAGTTAAATATTGTAGTATTTCACCTTGTGGCATCTCTAAGGCAAGTGAATTCTGTTCCTGAAGTAGCTTTTTTTCTGAGATCATGTAAACACGTGTCACAAACATTCAGATTCACGAATAAACTGAAGAAATAATTTAGAAATAATTTGAATTCTGCCATCAGTGAAAAAAAAAAAAAATATAAGCCATGCCAAAACAAGGGTGGCTTTCAACATTGTCATGACTTCATCTCTGGATAAAAGAACATGCATATCAAATTAAAAAGCCAAACCTAACTTACTTATTTGGTAAATTGTTATTTGGTAAAGCTTTATATCACATCCATCACTGCTGCACCCCTCCCTTGTAATTTGTGAGCACAGAGAATAATTCATGTCCCATGCAGAGAAATTTGACAATGCATGTCCAGCTCATTTCAGACAGGATCCAAACTCTGAATCCAAGCCCTGTCCTTCTCCTCTGAGTTCTCCCTTCCATAATCCTTAAATAACTGAGAACAAAAGTATGGAGACTGCAAATATCACAAAGATATTACAGCAAGGAAAGCAGCCCTGGAGACACAGATGCAGAAATATTTGGGGGTTTTGGTTCAATTCTAACTGTTAATTGAAAGAAGACCTGAAAACATGATCTATTACCTCGATTTCTGTAATTTCCTTAAATAAAAGCAGGTAACCAGGGGTCCATTATAAAGTCTTCTAAGCAAACAGGATATGACGGCACTGCATTCTCCAGCTAAATGGAAAATTCATTCCAAGACAATGATTTGTCTACCTTCACATGGAGATTAGTTAGAGGAGCACTGTCAGCACTTAAGGCAAACCATTCACAGTACATTAAGGATGCAATTAGAGCAAAAACCATCTTCAGCATTATTGTTCTTACTAATTAGTGGTAGTCTGCAGACGCCAGAACATCAATAATAATATGAACAGTCAATTTGTACCCTCAACTTTCAGGAAAAAGAAAACAACTAAAATACGTGTTTTCATCAAGAATTGAACCACGTAAATTTAAAAAGGTATCATCTACATTAGCAGCCCCTTGGGCTTTCTAACAAAACTCTTCATATAATTAGGCTTTTACTTGCTATTTTTTTCCATGCTGTACACAAAATCCTCTAAAGGCACAGAGGGAATAGACCTGAATTTTCAAACAAAGTTATTCTGCCTGCCCAGCCTGACACAATGTCCAACAGCATTCCTCTCAAAAAATGCAACCCTTTGTCATAAATTGATTAAATAGTTTTTATCATCAGTTGTTCTGAGGGGAGAAGACAGACCCTGCATGTGCAGACAGAAAGGTTTGAGTTCCTTGGGTTGATTTTTTTTTACTCACCTTCCCACTGGCCAGTGAGCACCAGGCTCCTGCTGATGACAATGTCAATCTCTCGGGCACCATATTCCACTGCCAGCCTTATTTCAGCCAGTTTGGTCTCCAGAGGAGTTTGGCCAGATGGAAACCCAGCAGCCACTAGCACCAAAGGGGTGCAGGCAGAAGGAAGAAATGTTTTATGAATGTGTTAAAAAGTTTTATAAATTGACCATAAAATTGAAAATACCAGTAATACACCAAAAGATTTGAATGTTACTTTTTTTTTTTTTAATGCTTGCCATGATTTAAAAAAATTACAGGCATCTCATCCTACCCTCTCTTCATCCACAAGAAGCATTAGCTCTACCCTCAAAAACCCATCTCCAGTAAGGCAAGTGCATCTCAGGAAAAGATCTCTCACATGCCCTGATATTTTCCAGAAGAGCCTACATAAAAGCACAGTATCTATTGCTTTCAGCAGAACTGAGCAAACAAGGAGTGAGCTCAGATATGAAGCAATAGACACATTTTTAATTTTCCCCAATTCTTTTAAGTAGTATCTTGAGTTAAATCGTAGTAATGTGGTTTAATGGTTAAACCACAATATAGCAAAAACTACTTGCAATGAGTTCTATTTAAGAGTATCTTTATGATGAGTATGTTTTTAAGTACAAAACCCAAAGGTAACTTTGGAAATGGAAAAAATAATGGCTTTGTCAGAGATTGTCTTTCTTTCTGACATTTAAATGCTTTTAGTACGTATTTTCCCCCTACACAACAATGAAAAAAGAACAAAACACTCACATGTGCCTTAGCATTGAACACCTGATCTAACTTCAAAGTTTGCCCCTGCTTTGAGCAGGGGGTTGGACCAGATCACATCCAGGGCTCCCTTCCAACCTGAGTAATTCTCTGATTCTATTTCTTGCTCCCTGTACATTCAGGACCTGCCTCTCTCGTGTGGTGACTGCAGAAGGGCTGACCCTGTTAGATTTGGGGATGTGAAAGTCCTGAACAACCCCAGGCTGTGCACACAGCGTCCCTGAGGGCAGCCTGCAGGATGTGCTGCTTGGGATGGTGATCCTCCCTGGGGCTGGGCTGCTCTGGAGTCGTGCAGGAAGCTCTGCTTGTTAAAATCAGGCAGTCAGGAGTGTCTCTGATTTCTTCAGAGAG